CTTGAACAGTTATCCAGGACAGGATCAGCCAATCAGAAACACCTACATGGTACCCAGGCTCAGATAGACCCACACAGGACCTAGGCTCAGCACATCCAGACAGCCCCCACAAAAAAGGAATGGAAGTGGATTCTGAGGCATGAACCCAATGAGCCAGGGGCCCTGGATGTTAGTGTCACCAGCAAGAGCAGCAGTGCCTCAGCTGGTGGCAGTGATGGGGTCTTCCCAGGGAGGTCCTGCCATGGAACTTGGGCATTATTAGGGGCTATGCACTTCCCTGCCTGCCTCTCTAGCTGATACCTTTTAATAAATTCTTGTCCTGCTAAAATTTGCTAGAGTGGATTCTGTTATTTGCAACTAAAACCCTGAACTCTGCAGATTCATTTAACTCTCCTGTTTTCCAAGCTGCACAGAGAGCAAAGCAACGGCCACCCCAGAGCATGGTTAAGGAACCAGGGCAAGGGTGTCACAGTACCGCAGGGAGAGGCTGGCTGTGACAGGACAGTGTCACCTGAGGGCTCCCTACACTGGTTTTGGAATTTGGCCAGTCTGGTTTGAATTCTGGCTCTGGCACTGACCTTGTGCAAGTCACTTTTTCCTCTCTGAATGTGTTTCCTTATCTGGGAAAGGGGACCATTGTCAGCTCCTGCCTTGTGCACAAATTGTCATAAAGCCCAAAGATGACAGCGTGGAAAAGTACACAGCCCAGCAGGCAGGATGTGCCACACCAGTGACACCTGGAGGACTGTGGTGAGCTGTGTTTTGCTGGATCAAAGACAGTAACAGTGCAGGTGGTGGCTTGGTGCATCCTGACTTGAAGGTGGTCCAGGGAAGCTGAGCTTTGGAAAACCCATCTCTGGCTCATGTCACAGGTTTACAGCAGAAACGGTTAAAGTGGTGACGTTTATGTTATACACATTTCACCGACATATCTTATATTAATAAGGTCAAACACTTCCAAATCATTAAATTATACACCATAAATGGATGAATTGTATGGTAGGTGAATTACATCTCAATAAAACTGTTAAACTCCACCCCCCACCCCAACCAGCTTCCCCATGCCCTTAGGAGCAAGGGGCTGCACCTCCCTTCACTTCCACCCCCAGGCCTCTCACCCTCCCCCTCATCTACACCCACCCCACCCCCAGTCCCTCCCTCCTGCCTCCCTGGCCTTCCTCTCTCTGGACAGATGCTATGGGACCTACCCCAGGTCTTTTGCCTTTGCTCTTCCTTGCACTCAGACGGCTCCTCCAACTGGCGTAGTGACTGTCAATGTTCACTGCCCATCAGGGTCACAGGAGCAGCTCTGGGAAGTCCCCATATCCACGCCCACTGCAGGGGGCTGATGGCATGGGGGGAAGGGAGACCTGGACAGTTACTGAGTTTTTTATTTATTTTTATTTTTTATAAAGATTTTCCAGGTGCTTCCAACATCCAGCTAGCACTAAGACTCTCTGCCTGACATGTCTGGTTCAGTAACCCCTCCTTCAGGTCCCAGACCAGCTGTCAGCCCTTAGAAAACTCTACCTCACCACGCCACCTCCCCCCCCTTTCCCACCCTGCACTAAGTCACCCAGCTGCACCCAGCCACCTAGGATTCTATGCTGTGATATGCTTTCTCTCTGGTGAGATGCCAGGCCAATGAGGACCGAGACTGAAACTGTTTTGGTCATGACTGACCTCGAGCTTAGCTCAGTAAACCGCTGTCTGTGGGCTGCAGTTCTGCCTGTGGCCACTAGGTGGTAACAGTGCTGGATTGCATGAAAAAGTCACCCCAGACGTCCAGGCTGGTAGTCCCAGCCCACTCCTGTCCCCTGCCTGGCCACTGCTCATCAGGAGGAGCAAGGATTGTGACAGTTTCTGCCAGGTACACCAGAGTCCTCCCTTCTCTTCCTTGTTCATGGATTCTGAGTCAGCATCTGAAAACACTCCACCCAGACCAAAGCCATAGCAAAAGGCTGCAGCCCTACCTGGAACCTCCATGGTTTTCCCCTCCAGCAAGCCATCAGTGCAGCCACCTTGCAGGTCTGTGCTGTAGCCAGTGCTGGGACGCAACCTGAGGGCTGGCTGCAGGCATGACACTGTCCACATGGTAGATCGCTCTGGTCAGGGACAGTACTCAGGATTTCAAGTGAAAAGCAACAGAACAGATGTGCACCCAAAGCAACCATCTGTATTAGTAAGAAAGAAAGGCCAGGAGCCCATGGCTCACACCTGTAATCCTAGCTCTTCAGGAGGCAGAGATCAGGAAAATCTCGGTTTGAAGACAGCCAGGCAAAGAGGTCTCGAAACACTATTCTGAAAAAAACCTTCACAGAAAGGGTTGGTGGAGTGGCTTCCAGGTGTAGACCGAGTTCAAACTCCAGCACCATAAATAAATAAATAAGAAGAAGAAGATGAGGAGCAGAAAGTGCGTCTGCCTCTGTCTGTAAATGCTGAGAACTCTGAGGGACATGCAGGCGGAGGCTGGAGGGGCCCGAGTGACTGAAGGGGCTTTACGGGACTTTTCATGACTTCAAACTGGAGTCTTGTGATGTTGCTGTTGGCTAGTCAAATAAACAGTAAGACAAAGACTCAGGGTTTTCTTAAAAAAAAAAAAAGCAACCATTTCTCTACCCACACATAAGCCAGTCAGTCGCTTCTTCCTCCTGTCCTTCCTCTGTGGGAGGCTGGAAGGTTCAGGGAAGGGGACCTCAGGAGGAGGGCAGATCAGCAGCTGACCTCTGCGTGTGGTCCCCAACGACCCTGATAACCCTGGGGACACACGGGGTACAGAGACAGCCTCACAAGCAGTTGGGATATGCATGTACACACATGCACACAGGGAAAAAGGGGCCACAACCAGCCTCCCCCCCGCTCTGGTCTTCAGGATAAATGAGGTAACAAGTGCACGCCCAATAAAACATAATCTTTTTTTCCCACTTAAAAAAATAACAGCTAATGTCCCATCTACTGGAAAGAGCACTTAAGCGGGAGTCCAGTCAGAATCTCTCCAAGCCTTGACCTTGAACTAGTCACTTCCTTGTGCCTGTTTCTACAGCAGCTAGTGGGAGGTCACGTGGACCAGACTCTTCTCTGGGTAGCAAAGAGCCTCTGGCCTGGTTCCCATCCATGGCATCAAGGGGCGGGGGAGAAAAATCACAGCCCACCACACCAAAGTCACAGGCCGCTGACTCTGGAACAGCATTCTTTCCACCCTCCTTATTCCTTCAAGTCACACAGGGCTTGCTGTACACTAGGCAGGTCAAGCTCATGGATACCCCAGGACCTTTGCACTTTCGGCTCCCTCCCGCTGCCTGGGACTTTTACACACTGTATTTCCCCCAGCTGGCTCCTCATTCAGGCTTCAGTTCAAACATCCCTTTCTCCAAGAAAGGCTCTGTGCCAGATGCTGATGGCTCACACTTGTAATCCTAGCTACTTGGGGAGGCTGAAATCGGGAGGGTCACAGGTTGACCCAGCAAACTGTGACCCAGCAAAGAGTTCCCAGATCCCTATCTCTAAAATAACCAGAGCAAAATGGACTGGAAGTATGGTTCAAGCAGTAGAGTGCCTGCTTTGCAAGCGTGAAACCAAGTTCAAACCCCAGGCCCACCAAAAAATAAAGGGGGGAAGGGGGTAAGTATGCACAACTCCAGTGGGAAGTCAACTTCACCTCTTGCTTCTGCTCTAAACCATCCCTATTTTGTCCCCACAGCTCTGGTGAACAAACAGCCGGCTCCCCAAATCCAGCCCACCCAGCATAAAAGGTCAAATGAGCTAAAAACACTTTCCTTTCTTAGCTGGTTGGAGAAAAAAAGCCAAATTATTGATAACACAAGAAAATTAACTGACATTCAAAGTTCGTTGTCTGTAAAGCCTTACTGGAAGTAGTCCTCGCTCACTTCTGTCCCCTCTGTGGCTGCTTCTGTGTCACCAGGCAGAGGGTACAGTGCAGGGCTCACCCACACAAAGCCAGTACTCCTAGGTTACCATGAGATTTACCACATTGGGTCATCTTGGACGTGTGATTTTTTTTCTTAAATCTGTGGGTATTGTCTCCCCACAAGGGTGGTAAGCCCCACATGGAAGGGCTCCTGGACCTCTTGTTCTCCCCACCCTCAGGTACTGAATTGTTCCTAGCACACAGCAGGTCCCCTAGAATTACTTGCTGAGTGGGGTCAGGAGTGGTGGTACCCACCTGTAATCCCAGCTACTTGGAAAGCAAAAGTAGGATGATTATGGTTTGAGGCTGGCCAGGGCAAAATTAGCACAAGACTACCCAAAAAACAAAAGCAAAAAGGACTGGGGCAGGGCTCAAGTGGTAGAGCACTTGCCTAGAAAGGCATGAGTTCAAACTCCAGTATGGGGGGAAAAAAATCAAGTCACCCCCCAGTAGAATGCAAGCTTGGTTAAAGGTAGGGACAGAATTCCTGATGTCACCACAGCATGCCAGCACCTGGACAGCACCCAACGCAAGGCATACTGGTATCGTTCTAAGGAATTTGGTCTCTGCATTTCCACACTCCACAGGCAGGAGGGTGCTGAGGCAGATCTTTACTAGGAAGCCTCGGCCTCTCAGGTCAGCCCAGTCTTGCAGGCTGGAGCCGAGGATGGGACACACCTGGTGGCTGATTCTGTTGGTGCTGGGTGGCTACTGCCCATGTATGTCCCGATAGCTCAGGCCACCACCACCTCAGCCCTAAGACAGCTCAGAGATGGCCACAGAAGGATGGCTGGCTCCCCACCGCTCTGCTGCTCCTCTATGGCCACTCTACAAACACCTGCGGGGCTGCTATTCTGCAAAGTGCCACCCCTACGGCGTCTTAGCCACTCGGGCCCTCCTATTGAGTTTGGGCCCTACAGACCTGAGAAAGCCACCCCAACCCATGGAAAACTGCAAACTGGAGGACGAGTAAGCCATTTTGCCAAAACAGTTTAATAAAAAAAAAAAAAAAAAAAAAAAAAAAAGATAAAAGAGTCTGAAAAAAAAAATCCGGGTGGGGTGGGGAGAAGAGAACCCAAAAGGCCATGTGGTGTGAGACCACTGGTTCAGCCACAAAGAAACACCATCATCAAAAAGATATTTAAGTTTAATACAAATTTTATACAAAGAAAATGTGAAAAAATACTTCCATATGCTAAAAGCAATTATGCTTCACAAATAAGGCCAGCTAGGCTATTTTTTTTTTTTTGACAACTGCAATTTTCTTCTAGGACCTCTTCTTATTTCTTCTCTATTGTGGGTAACTAGCTGGAAACTGTACAGTTCGAATCCTCTTATCGACAACGAAGAGAAAGGAAACGAGACGAAAACGTACAACGGAATGTACTGGAATGGTAGCGTACATTAATTTTCTCATATAACAACGTCACCTTTGCTTCGAGAGCAATGCCTTTTGTTTCACGCAATACGAAATGAACCTACGGCACACGTAGTGTAACAGACAGCATGGCGGTCTCGTTTCTCTCATACTGCCTCTGTTTCATGCTTACGTAAAAACGCACAACTCCATCCTATAAATAATACATACATGCTTCGGCCCAGGCTCACACGTGCTCTGCGCGCCTCCCGCCTCCGAGTCCTTGCTTTTGTGTGCGTGAGCACATCTGAAGGACACAGAGGGCCGCAGATTGCTCTCGGCTGCAGCGCTGATCGCCCTCCCACGTGCTTCTCCTTGCGTCTGCAGTTGAGTGGCGCGGGGCTTGTTTCCATGGGTCTTCTGTAAACAAGGAGGCTGCTTTGTTCCTTAGAGGAGTCATTGTTCAGATCACACGAAACACGCACTTTGGCACGCGTTCCTCGGGTCCAGTGAGCTCCAAGCGCCCAGCGTAGTCACGTGGCATCTGCGAGGGACTACAGACTCGGTGTGACATGTGCACAGCAGCACAGCCTACATCCACACTCTGCTCCCAACGTGCCTGCCGCTGTCGCTCGTGTGTGTGACTGCGACGCTGGGCCCCGCCCCCACCACCGTGTGACCATTCCTCCAACACCAACATTCTTTTCATTGTTGGGTTCTGTTTTGTTTTTTAATTTGTTTTTCGTCTTTTTTTTTTTTTATAAGTTAAAGTCAATACAAATATAAAAAGGGAAGGTTGTTTAGGTCGGCGACATCCACAAAGTGTACATTATTTACACTAAAGCATAGGGCTCGTGTGGGCGAGTGACCACAGCCAGGGCTGCCTCTGGACATCGTGTAGTGTAGGCTGCTCTGACACCAGGTGCCCAGGCTGAGTCAGGGGCTCCAGAATTCCCAAGTCTGAAGGTGGCTGTTCTCCTGTCTTCATGGTTTCCTGTTGTCCTGGTTGTCTGGGTTGCTATCCCCAACAGGGTGGGTGGTTTGGGTCACAATGTACCCCCTAGTCCCAGAAGCTGTCCAGCCGAGACTCTTTGGGGATGAGACTCTTTGAACTGGAGCTGGCGTTGTGCTCGGAGCGCGATGACCCTCGCTTCTCCTCACTGCCACTCCAGGAGCTGGACTTACTACTCCGGGAATGGTCTGGAAAGGAAAGCCAACACACTCAGCACACCTGCCACCTAGCTGAGAGCCACCTCCCCCTCCCTGCTCCCCACGACACCCATGGTTACAACACTGCCACCATCTGGAGAAGTGGCCGGAGCCAGCAGGCCAACAAAGCTCACAGGGAGGGAATAATGGCTAGTGAGAAGCAGTGTGCTGCCGAGGAAGGCACTCCCCTGTGCCCTTCCTGGACCATGTACCCTCATGACATGACTGGCCACCACGCACCCAATGCACTTCAGCCTCTGACGTGAGCCCCTGCAGAAAGGCCCCCAGATCGGGCATGCAGTCTACTTACATCAGCAGAGTCCCTCTTTATTTACAGGCAAGTTGAAAAAGGACTCACAACCAAGGCTGTGTCCACCCAAGGAAAAAGATGGTATGTGCACCGGATGGCTAAGCCCACCTGGACACACAAACCCCGCAGCCCTCAGGAAGGACACACAAAGGGGTCAGTAAGGAGTGCAGAGCCAGATAAGACCTGGGATGGCTTTGAGGACACACAGACACAGAGCTAGGTAGTGGCTGAGGAAGAAAGGAGGAAGCTGAAGGAAGAGTCAAACAAGGTGTCCATGAAGAGCGCTTCAACGGGCAGACTGCCCGGGCCTGCAGAGCACTGCTAGCAGCCAGCCACGGCCCAATGTCTCTTACCAAGTTCACAATGTTTTTTATAACTTTTCTTAAGTAGGGGTGGTCACAGGTGGTAAGAAGAAGTTGAGTGTCAAGCTTAGAGACAGAGTTGGGGGTGGGTGAGGGAGGGACATCCCTGGTTCCCTAACAGGACTGCACTTCTGCCTGTCAGCTCCACTTCTGGACAACAGTGCAGACAATGATAAAAGATGCCCCGGTTCAGGCAGGCACTCAGAAAGACTTCCTGCTTGCATCGGTAGCCAAAGAGGGCAACGTGAAGCCAGCATTACGGACAGCCTCAGTCCCAATCGCCCTCTTCTTGAGCACACCTCTCTACTTGCAGTGACCGCTCTTACGGGTTCTTCTGGAAGCCCCCTGGGGGAGGATGCCTCTGGTCTCACCATTCATGAGAATGTCCCCCATTCCCCAAGAAGGTCATCAAACCACACCAAGTCCTTTCAACTCTGGGGTGGGCCCAGAGCAGCTGGGCTGCTAGAAGACCCGGGAGAGGTGAGCTGAGCTAGTATCTCACACAGGGCCAGGCTGGCTGACTGGCGACTTCAGTGCCTGCACCTCACAAGCACAGAACCCAGGGCACTGGCCGACAGAGCCAAGCACAGCAGACAGGGCAGAACTGGGGTTCATCTAAGATCGTGTGTGAAAGAGCAAGGTTGATCCCCTCAAGAAGACAAACCTCCTCTCTCAGGTAAGAAGATACAATGCAAAGACCCATCCCTTGGAAGGACAGGGGGACACGGCCACGAAGAAACACACACACACACACACACACACACACACACACACACACACACACACACACACACACACAAAACAAGGCTTCTGCATGCCAGGAAGCGCTCCCAACAGCTTCCGTGACGCAGGGTCATACTTACACTTCTGGACTGGGTAGTTGGGGTGCAGCTGGTGGTCTGTGGTGGTTGGGGTATAGGCAGGTTGCTTGTCACACCTTTTGCTAACTGAAGAGACAGCACAGGTAGCCTCAGAGTCCGTCCGAGAGCTCAAATTCCGCACAACCCCAAGAGCTCACTATCTTGTTTATCAATGGGCTTACTGTTACCAAAGCCAGTTGGCTCCTTCATTTATGTCACTTGCTCCAATAAGACTCACTCACAGGGGACCAAGTCTTTTTACAAACACGCATCATACCAGGAACAGGACCGCTGGACATAGCACGGCTTTACAGGTATGAAATCAGGAGTGAATGACAGTCACACAATTCAACATTTTGTACGCCACAAACTCTCAGGATTTTGAAAGCACAATTCTCAGAACCACGAGCTCTGCTCATAGCCAAATCCAACCAGGAGAAACAGAGGCAGGGGGTAGAGCTACACTAGGGTTGAAGACATAGCCCCAATAACCCAGAGATGGCCATCCTCAACTACAATGGCGGGACACCCACAGACCATCTCTGAAATCCAAGAGCCAAAAACCAGTGAGAGAAGCCAGACGTAGGAGAGCGCACCAAAGTCCCAGCCCTTGGGAGACCGAGAAAGAAAGAGTGACAGCTCCAGGCCAGCCAGGGCTACATAGCGAGCCCCCGTCTCCAAAAACATAACTGAAATTGAAAGAAAAATAGGAGAAAAAAAGAACAAGAACTGCAGGAAAAAGTTAAAACTAGATGCAAGACTGAGAACTTCATCGCAGGCCACAGGTGATTTGGCAATGAGTGGCGCTCACTCATTAATTGCATTCCAACTTCCTACCCTCGGACACACAGACGCAAGAAGACGTCATTGGTTACAGACAGAACACACATGTTCTCAGCTGTGACGACAGGCAGGTGACAGAGCAGGGGTGCCTGGATCTGATGGAAGGAGAGAGGAGATGGGCTGCCAAGAAGAAGTGTCAGGAGATACAGCCTGTAAGTGAGCACAGGAGTAAAGGTGAAGGTCTCGGTCACAAGGTAACTCAGAGGGCAGAAAATTAGGGAAAAGGAGAGAAGTCACGTGAATGACTGACTCTCACTGTCTTCAAGCTTGAAGGCTACAGAGAATGTCTAAGGTCAAACTCATGCAACAGAGGTCCAGGGAAGGACACCACTGACAAGTCAGGAGGGCAGGAGCAGACTGACCAGAAAAGCAGTGGAGGGAGACGGGGCCTGGGAAGCGCCACCTGTTCTAGCTTGTTCCCTGAGTTATCACATGTACTGCCCTTATCCACCAGACAAGCAAGAGAGCCAGGCCCACCTACTGAGGAACTGGCAACTCCACTGACTTCTCCTTCCTACAGACTCCCATTTACCATCCTGGGACCAGGGGCCCATAACCATTCAGAAACTCAACGTGTCACACCTCATCTCCCGTGTGGCACTCCATGACTCTAAGAGCAAGTGCTGGCAGAGCTTAAGCTGGACATGTGAGGAGGGTAAGGGTCATGGAAATGATTGAGACTTTCTGCTCTGACATGACCAGCCAGGGCTAATGGCCCTGGTGAGAAGACAGGGAAAATCTTGCAGCCTTTGGACTGTACAGACCAGGTCCTGTGCCCACATACCCCCCTGCCTCCCGGTCACAGCCAGAGCACCAGCCAGGGCTCTTTTCCTTCCCTGCCCACAAGCTCCTGCTCTTCTCAAGAGCCTTGGGGGTTTCTGGTGGTTTGGGTAATTTTTTGGGGGGTGGCGGGGGAGGGCTGAGGTTTGAATTCAGGGCTTCCTTGAGCCCTGCCTCCAAGCCTTTCTAATCTGTTATTTGAGACAGGGTTTTGCTTTTTGCCCACATTATCCTGGATGCATCCTTCCCACCATCTAGGATGACAGATGTGCCACCACACCAGCTTTTTTTCGTTGAGATGGGGTCTCACATATTTTTTTTTGGGGGGGAGGGTGCGCTGGAACCACAATCCTACCAAACTCAGCCTCCCAAGTAGCTAGGAATGACAGACAAGTGCCACTGTGCTCAGATATTAAGATAAGGTCTCGAAAACTTTTTGCCCCAGCTGGCTTCAAACCATGATCCTCCCAAGCTAAGACTCCTAAATAGCTAGGATTACAGGCATGAGCCAGCAGGTTTTTGTTTTACTTTTTAATTCTTTTGCAGGGCTGGGGATGGAACCCAGGGCTTTGAATATGCTAGGCAACTGGTCTACCACTGAGCTCCACCCCAGCCCACTAATATGCCTTTGCCTAGGCTCTTCCAAATTCTCATGACACCCAGTCTCCTAACATGTACTCAGGGATCCACCTCACTCTTTAACCCAAGACCTAGGGGCCAGGTATTCTCTGACATGCAAACCCCAGATTTGCACTAGTCAGATCTTCTTCTGAGAGAAGGTATCAAAACATTTAGAGCTGGACATGGTGGCACATGCCTATAATCCAGCTACTTGGGAGGCAGAGACAGGAGGATCAAGAGTTCAAGGCCAGCCTGGGCAAAGTTAGTAAGAGCCTACCCAAAAAACAAACTAAATAAATACAAATGTGCTGGGGTATGGCTCAAGTGGTAGGGCTCTTGCCTAGCATGTGTGAGAACCTGGATTGATTCCAGTACCACAGAAAAACAACAAACAACCCATAATATTTAGAATTTAAAACAGCCTTACAGGTTAGTGGCTTATGGGTTAACAGTGACTATGGAATCACCCATGGTGAAGTACCAGAATGAAGCCAGCTGGATGAGTTGAAGGGTGTGTGAGAAGGGGAAAATGATGCAGGATAAAATGACAAGAGACATCTAACTGAGCCGGGGAAGAAGAGGGGACAGGTTTCAGGCCATGCTGCTCAGTATGGCAGCCACCAGCCACAAGTTACCATTTAAATTGAGTAGAACAAGGACTCAATAGCCACATGTGGCCTCCAGAGTGGACAGTGTACACCTAAGAACATGGCCCTTGCGACTGGAGGTGTGGCCAGTGGTAGAGCACTGGCCCTGCATGCCACCCCGGGCATAGAAAAAGAACAGGAAGGATGGAGGGAGGGAGAGAAAGAGGGAAGGAAGGAAGGAGGGAGGGAGGGAGAGAAGGGAGGAAGGGAGGGAGGAGGGAGGGAGGAAGGAGGGAGGGAGGAGGAGGGAGGGAGGAAGGAGGGAAGGTGGAAGGAGGGAGGGAGGAAGGAGGGAGGGTAGAAGGAAGGAAGGAAGAAAGGAAGGAAGGGCCCTTCCTGCAGAATACCCCACAGAGAGAACGTGGAAGCACAGAACATATTTAAATGTCTGGGGAAGGCGACAACTGAGAGTGGGGTAGTCTGGCTACCAGAAAGGATAGGAATGGAGAGGTTGGTCAGACCACGAAGGCCTACATGACTGGGAGGGACGAGGAGAGGCCTGAAATGGAGCAGAGAACTTGGGACATGGTGGTGGTGGGGCGGAATCAGAGGCTGGTGGAAGAAATTTGGTCAGGTGACCAGGCAGGTGAGTAAGCTTGCTCCCAATTAGCAATGAGAGATTTTTGTGTGTGATAAGAGATGAATTTGTGCATGTAGATAATGTTCCCTAGCTGAGACGAGGCTCAGGTGCAGCTGAGTAAAACGTGGAAAGCTGCAGTTTCCCAAGAGGACGTGTTGAGAGACTGGTCTTAGCAAAGCTATGCTAAAGGACAGGGCATGGAGACAGCCCAGGGGAGAAGGAAAAAGTAGAAAGAGCATTGGTGGAGTTAGACGGGACAAACCAAGGCCAATCTGCAGGCTGACTCCTCAGAGATCAGCATCCTTGCAGTTGAGCCATAGAAAAGTGCTGTTACACAACTATTTCTGACTTTCATCAACAGTGACTTCCTATGGGCCACTGAGCACACTCATAGCACCGGCTGAAGCACTGGCCCAACAATCGTTCACTGACTGACTTGGGCATCCGAGCCAATAGCTCTGGGCCTCAACCTCATCAGTGTTATGGAAATAGTAAGGACTCTCTCACAGAGGATGGGGACACAGAAGGGTGTGGTACTTCCTACTCTCCTGCATGCCTCTGAAGCACCATGGTATACCTGTCCGGTTCACATAAACTCCCAACCCCACCTCCCACCTACCACCAGTGTCTCCCGGGCTTCTTGCCTCCGCTCTCTAATTACAGCCTTCCTCTTCTCTCCCCTAGGACCCAGGATGCTTTAGGCCAAGAGTCAGCAAACCATGTCCCATGGCCCCACCCAGTGCACACTTCAAGGTTTAACTGGTACCTGGCCATGCATTTGGCCCTGTGTCAGCTGTGCCTGCCTTCTGCCACAGTGGCACGGCACAGCTGGGCAGGGACCACAAAGCTGGCAGTGCTAAACTCCTATTTGGCCTTTACGAAAGGGTCTCCTGGCCCCTGGTCTAGGTGATGCCTCGTCTACCTCAGAAATGAACCCGGTGCATCTCCCAGCCACCTTGCCAAATACTTGCTGGCTTGAATCACTTCACAGTTTCAAAACTTTCACAGCACCCCAGCTGATAATCTTCTATCTTCTAATGGGTTTTTTGTAATACTGGGATTTGAACTCAGTTCTCCCACTTGCTGAGCAGGTGCTCTACCACTTGAGCCTCTAGTCTGCAAAACAGTAATTTCCATTTCGTACCCATCTCATCCCACTTTTACGACTGTGACACATCCATAATTCTCTCATGTACTGCTTTTTTCTTTTACACTTATTTTCTAACTTAAAAAGTGAACTTTTATCATCACCACCAAAAAGAGGGAAGCAATTTACCAAGCCGTAAATAGGAGGCAACTCTTCAAATTAACACAATGAAAAACAAACTGTACTACATCCTATGGGGACCACACGGCTATAATGCAAAGTCTGCGCCATCTTTATTAAAAACAGAACTCTAGCCAGACATGGGGGTTCCAGCACTTGGGAAGTAGAGGCAGGAGAATCAAGAGTTCAAGGCCAGCCTGGGCTACAAAAGCGAGACCCTGTCTAAAAAAAACAGAATTAGAATTGATTCCAGATGCTAACAACATCTGTGTAATGACACCATGCCCGTGCTTAGAGGCCCCAGGTGAAGACAAGGAATGAGGGAACAGCTTTCTTTTTTTTCAATCATACTCAACACCAACTTCATAGTCTCCCTAGAGTCAGCTCATGCCCCTCCCTCTCACCTCCCCCATCTAAGTTCAACCACCCGTCAAGGCCTTGCCCCTCAGGAGACCTTCCCCAGACACCCTATCAACGGACTCCCCTTCTTCCTCTACACACTCACTCTAAGGTGCAGAAGTGAAATTAAACTTTCAGTTTTCGGCTGAAGAGAAGAATTAGGCAGAAGAATCCTGAGGCCAAGGTGACAGGAGGGAGCCTCAACTTAAGCAAGACTGTCCTCAACAAGGAAGGCACATCTCTGAACTTCTCTGGAATGACCCAAGATCAGTTTAGAAGAATGAAGGAAAAAGATCCTTAGGGCTAAGAAAGAAGAGTGGCTCAAAGTCCATGGAAAAAGTCCAGAAGCCTCAGAGAATCCCCGAAATCACCTGTTAGAGAAAAGATTCTCCCAGAAAGATCATCTCTCTAAAGACTCAAGTGCCCGCACGGAGACCGTGGGAATAATTTTATGTGGCTTTGTTTACTGTGGTCATTTCTAGAACCCCATGTTCAAATGAAGTTTTACATGGGCTCCCAGTAAATACAGCCAACATAGGTAAATCCTGAGCAGTGTGGAGCGGTGCCTGAAATCCGCCTTGCCCGGCCACACCCTCACCCGCCATGGACTTGCCCAAGGCAACCCCAAGGATGTGTAATAAGAAACACCACTATAAACCTTTGACCTTCTCCCTGACAAACCAGCTCCCCACCTGCCCACCCTCCTGCCCTCAACCATGAAAACACCTTCCACCCACCAGGGAGCAACATACCAGAGCCTTGGTTAGAACCTAAGAGAATGGAAGAAGGCGTCTCTCTGGAGCCAGAAAGGTCAAGACTCTAGAAGGACAAAAAAGATGGACTCAGGACACTGATGGATGGAACCCCGAAGAGCCCTGCAGATGTCCAAGGTGCTTTCCACAGGGCCTCTCAGTGCCGTGGCTGGTGTGGTCTGGAGGGAGCCAGGGCAGGTACAGCAACCACACACCTTGTGCTCCACCTGCCACAATCAACAGGCTGGTACCACCCACTGAGAAATGAGCAGGTACGACCTTGGTGGTTCAACACGGCAGCACAAGCCGCGAGTGGTTACTTACATCTAAATTCACTAAAACTCATTTTTTTTAATGTCAGATCCTTGTTCAGATCATCCACACTTCGGGTGCATATGGCTAGTGGCTGTCACACTGGACGGAACAGATAGAACATCCACCACCACGGAAAGTTCTATTGGACACAGCACTCTGAGCTTTGAGGGGCCCTGGGATCAGCTGCCAATCCCCCACACACCCCAACTCGGGCACCATGTTCCTGTACGTCCACTGGAATCCCAGGCACTGTGGCCAGAAAGAGTCTTTATTAGGACTCCCAGCACTTGTGGGAGTGGTCCATGACACAAGGGAATTCTCACCGAGCCACTGTCCTTGCTTTTCTCGGCTGATGTGTCCTTCTCTTTGGAGGCGCTGGCCGTTTCCGAAGTGGCGGACTGTGTGCTAGAGGAGCTGCCCTGGGATGACTTATTTCCTGTTTCCGTATTTGCCTCCGCATCAGCTTCCTGCTGAGGGGCAGTGGCTGGGGACAAAGGGGAAGAAGCAGCTGTGTGGAAGCCCAGCAAGCTGCTCCAAGCCCCACATGGAATGCTTCAGTGACTGCACAGGAACCATGGCTCGGGTCTTTGCTACAGGTCTGCAGGCAAGCGTGAGTGCAAGGACCTGGGCAAGGGGCAAGCCTCCCTCATTGCCTCAGCAACCTGAGCGTTACCTGACTGGGTGCAGGATTTCATGTGCTCGGGCCAGTGGGCCTGCTGGCAGGGGTAGTCACAATAGCTGGTGTTCCAGCAGCAATAGAAGATGGCTTCCTTCTTGCAGTTGGCACACCACTGCTTCTTTTTGGTTTCATCCACTGCCTGCTGCTTCTCCAGCTCCAGCTGCTTCTTCACCTCAGCGATGAGCCGGTCCCGCTCCTGCTCCAGGCTCTGCCGCATCTCAGCCATGGTCAGCTCTGGCAAAGGAGGACACGAAGACTGCTCACCTGACCCTGGGCCCAGTGGGCAGGGTCATCAGACCCTCAAGAGTCAGACAGACATAGCAGAACACTGACCAGAAAACGCCACCCACAGCTGTGTGAGCCTGGGCTTGTGACACCAGGTCTTCACCTGTAATGGGGTGTCTGTCCATCATTCAGATGTGAGGCAGCCGCTGCCCTCCAGGTGTGGAGGCTCAGGAGCCCCATGGTGACTCTCAAGTTACATTATGGAAACTCTTCACAACAAATGCCACTAACCCTCACTTTCTGTGTCATTAACATAAACCTTTTTCTCTATCAAATACTCACAGCACCACTATACGCAAGCACGATTCTAGGCACTTTATAAACATTAACTCATGTAAACCTGGTCGTAAGTCTATGGGATAAGTACCACCCATAAACCCCTTTCACAGATGAGGAAACTGAGGCACAAAGCTAGTTAGGGCAGAGGTAGGCCTAGAACCCAGATGCCCTTCCTAGTAGGCATATCTCATGGTACTGGCTCAAACCTATCAGATGGGACACCCTGGATAGTCCTTATGCTAACAGAACAATAAATCATCCTCCCAGCCTAATGAAATTGCTCTAATTTTACTTCAGACTGTAAGTCCATTTGCAGATCATTTCCAAGTGAACTGCACATAGAAATAAAAGAACTGCTGGAGACATGGCCCAAGTAGTAGAGCACCTGCCTAGCAAGTACAAAGCCCAGGGTTCAAATCCCACTAGCACCAAAAGAAAAAGAAGAAATGGTTCCTCAATTCATTACGTCATGCACTTCCTAAAATTTAAAAAAAATAACACAGAAAATTAAGCCCTGGTCAAGAAGAGAAACACAGTGGCCAGACAGAACCTTCCAGTCACTCTAGTAGGAACCTGCAAACCAAAGGAGGTTCTGGCCAGACCCATGTGCAATCTCTGCAAATGTGTGGCCAATGTCTACACATGCACGCACAGTGCATCGAGCTATGATGCCCAGCCTGTACTAGAAAACAGCAATGACACCAGATCCTCCAGCGTGGCAGCCAGCTGAGGAATACGGGGCTCCTCCCAAGGATCTGCAACTGTCACAGAGACCACAGCTGAGCAGATGGGTACACACAGGTATCTAATCAAAAGAAGACATCCCTGGCTTATGGTGCAAGTGCTCTATGACAGTGGGAAAAGCCTTTGCCAATATCTATGCACAATAGCAGAAAGGTCAAAACATGTTGCACTAATCCAGGGACCAACAAAACATCTTTCTCCACAACACACGCAGGAAGTACCCAAGTATGTGTTAAAATACCAACATTCATGATTAACAAGCAAGGAGAGTCCCCAACTTGAATCACAGCTGTGTGACGTGGACAATTTCCAACATGTCTGTGCTTCAGCTTCCTTACCTGACAACTGGGGTTGTAAAAGAACCCGTTCTCATGAGGGTTTCTGTGAGGATTAAGCTAGTAAGGTCATAGAAAAGAATGCACAAGAGATATGTGGCACACACTTCTACTGAGTGTTATGAATTTTGCACAATCTAAATTCAAAGAGTGTTACAATGAACCATCTTAAGTTGGGGGCCATCTGTATCTTGAGTGAGGAAAGCAGGGCTCCCCCAACACCTCTTTCACACCTGGCTCCTCCAAGCTGGACTCTCTAGGGTTCTGTGCTCTCCCTGGAGTCCTACAGCCCACCAGTCTAGTGTTGGTTCCATTCACACATGAGCCGAACCCCAACCTCATTCAGTGCAGACCTAGTGGCTGAGCCTCACCCAGGTTGTGTTTCATCTCAGAGAGCTCCTGCTGGTGCAGCCACTGTAGCTTCTCGATCTCGATCCTCAGCCTGCGGATCTGGAATGAGGAGAGGAGGAGTCTGAAAACACCATCAGTGAGCTGTTTCCCAACAGGGCCCGGGAGCTCAGCATTTGCAGTCAGAAGAAGCGCAGATGTCGCATGGCTGGCTCAGGACACAGGCAGCTTGGCTCTGTGCTTCTCACAGCTCAGTTCCAGGGGAAGAGACAGGAACAGGCCAAATTCACTAGAACACTGGTTCTGAAAACCAGTACAAGCAGGCCAGCTTTTCCAAGAAATACGGCACCAGGAAAAGCCTCTTAAAGTGAAGGCAAGGATGGGTGGAAATCTGATTAGGATTTGAATCTTAAAACAAAAACAAACACCTAAAACAACTGAAGACTGTTGTAACCTATCATGTAAGTGGAGTAGATCACCATCTACCTGAAAACCAAAGGTATCGTGTGAGAGGAATAAACCTGGAGCCAAATCCATTTGGAGGGGGGTAAAACACCCAAGGTGATTCCTTATGAAGCTGCTCACGGTGTTTATCACAGTGGCTCTCAATGAGGACAATGTGCCCACCCGTCACAACACAGTGTCTGGAGTCATTGCTGGCTGGCAAAACTGGGGGCTGCTACTGACATCTGGTGGGGAGAGGCCAGCGGTGCTACTGAGCACCCTACAACTCACGGGACAGTGCAAATACCAGTGCTGCTGAGGTAGAGAAACCCACACAGCATGAACAGGGACACTTCACTGCAGAAGTGCTACGTCGTCTTGCAGGGGACTGTGTACTACCGAAGAACTCTGGCCCACATCTGCACCTAGGGTTTCAGGTGAGCCACTGCGGACCTGTGCTTTCAGCCACACGCCAATCCTTAGAGGAGGAGGAAGCACGCTGCGACAGGCTTTTCCTAAAACTCCATGCGCTACTTCAACATCCCCAGTCTAATCAGAAAGAGGGCCATATTTGAACAACAACAACAAAAAAGCAGGGGCGAGGAGGGTTTAGACACATAGCTCAGTGGAGGAGCTCTGGCCTAGCATGTGCAAGGCCCTGGGTTTGATCTTCTGCACCAGAGAAAAATGTATAGATTAATCTCTCTAGGTAAATAAAATGTGTGTGGGTATGGGTGCACGTATACACACACTCGTGCATGCATGCAATACACAGATCTATCTTCAATCTCCATGAATTCCTCGCGGGGCCCGTCTTAATCCCTCACATCTGTGTTGTTTTCTGTTGAAGTGAATGCTCTCTTCCTTCTGGAAGAGAGCCCTGCCACCTCCTCAAAGGTTGATGGCTTCTCATGGGAGCGCCAGTCTCCAGCATCACCTCCAATGATCTCAAGAAACCCCGCCACCTACATTTCACCTGGTGACTGCTTGCATCCACCTACCCTGTGCCATCCTCACAGATACCAGCAGGCGCCCCTCTCCAGCCCAAGAGGGAAATTCAGATAAGTACATTTTGTAACAGGTACTTTGTAAGTGGATGACTTGCTGTTTGAACCTTTCTTTTTTAGGCAAACACGTAATCATGGAGACTACATTACTCAAATGCTTGGACAAGGGCAACTTGTATAGAAAAGTTCAGACTTACAGAGAAGACCAAGGTGCCAATTTTACATGAAACAAAAGAATTGGTTTCCAGTTTTGACAGCCAGTTAGCAGGCATGGCTTTTGGCTGATTAGAAATAAATTTATCACACAAAGCACCGAACTCCCCACAGTCCTGCTGTGTGACCAAACGAAGTGAAACGCCACCAACATGGAAAGACTGCAGAGCAAGCAGACCTTTGCAGGTCACCTTTTTGGTGGCACTACCTGCAGAACAGCCCATAAGCACCCTTGGAAAACAGGAATGCACATGATGTCTCTGACCTCAGCTATCGTGCTTCCGGTAGTGTTTTTGGAAAGATCGTTGTATATTTCTGTCATCGTTCCTTTTATTGCATCCATCATCTGAAAGACAAAACAAACAATTCCAGTGATTGCTCTCTATGGCTCTTCCAGGTAACAGGACTACCCGAATCACTGTGCCTAAGGTGCTGTTTCTCAATTCTGAGCCACTATGTCCCTCCTGAGGTGCTGGGTGTTTCTAGTTATCATGACAGGTGAGGAAACAGGGAAGGAGGCTACTGGCATCTCAGGGGTGGAGGCCAGTGCACAGGACAACCTTCCCCAGCAAAGCCTGACCTGCCAGCCCAAAATGTCAGTAGTGCCAAAGTGGACAAAGCCTGCTATAAAGCAAGGTGAGACTCACCCATGACTTGTCACACATTGTGGAAGGAGCTCACACCTGCAGTGCGAGTTCCTCCCCGCACCATCCCAGGCTGAAACTCGAGAGGCCAGCTGGCTCACCACGTTCAGTTTAGCCAACAGAGCAGGTGTGAGGCGGTGATCAATTTGTTTTTTTACTGCTGTCGCTTCTTTCCCCTTAAAACATATTTTAACAAGCTATAACTCACACACCATCCAAGTCACCAGTTAAGTGCATGATTCAATGGCCTTCCAGGCAGTCGATGTACCTCCGTGGTGGGGTGTGTGCTTAGGTTCTGCGTTCAAGCATCCCTCCACAAATTTCAATGAATTTTAGTTATGCATCCAGCATGAAAATCAATTGTAAAGCACTTTCACTCATTATCTATTAAATAACACTTTCCTTGTCTTCACACCCCCTCACCCCCACCCCCCAACCCCCTGCCAACATTCCCATTTTCTCCATGGGGTCCCCAACAGCCAGTAATCTGCTTTCAGTCTGAATTTGCTTCTTCTGGACATTTCATATAAACGGATTCATGTGAGTCTTCAAGGCTTATCTGAATCACTTGTGAGCGCCTCGTGTGCATATGGTGGCAGCTTTGTCATTTTAATGCCTTCTGTCTGGGCACTGTCTTTCCAGTTCACCTCCTGTCTTCTTTTTCTTTAACTATCAGATTCTTGAAGAGATCACCAAGTTTGTGAAGTCAGGCAAAGGCCGTGCAGCAGCTACCGGGTCTGTGTTGACCCACTCTATATATCCTTACTGCCTACCAGCTGCACCCCCGCCCAGGAGAGAGAAGAGGGAACAGGAGGGTAGACTAGGGCTTAGCCTGCTCTGACTATTGCTGCATCCCCCTGTAGTCCCCAGAACACACCTGATCACCACATCTCTACACATTTGTTCCCACTATTAAACTCTTACGTCCACACTCTCTGAGCCTCAGTTTCCCTGTATAAAAACAAGGATAACAACAGTGCCCTCTTGTGTACAAGGATGGACTGAGATAAAACCACACAAAGACTGGCCCTGGAAGAGGTACTCACAGAAATACCTGTTGATCTTGTTTTTACAGAAAAATACATTCATATGCAACGCCTAACGCGGCCCGAAAAAGCCACCCCATATTCACCCCAAATGGTAGTCCCGTGAATGAAGTATCTGTTGGGAGGACTTCCCCCACCTGCTGCATGGGCCAGCACAAACACTCCGGCCTTCTCAAGCTGTAGGTGGACATTCTCTAAGAGCCAGGAGAAAAGTTACAATGCAACAGCTTTACAAGAAAACTTGAGAAAGTGGGTGAAATTCAACACATCACTAATGCAAGGCTTGCATTCCATTTTAAAGATATCATGAATTTGTGGACTTTTACTTCCAAATATAGCAAAGAACTGAACACTAATGACTAGCACCCTTCTGCCAAGACACACAAATCTGTGCCTTCAACTCCAGGTCACCTTGGAGAAGGCAAAGTTCATCAGCTCTCCCCAAAATGGCACCATGACCATTTTTTTTTTTTAACTGCTAAGAAAATATCCATTCAAATGATCGTTTTTCACTTTTGGTATAAAAGAGGGCTGTGGAAGGTGAAGGAATTTCAATGGTTGCCAGAGCTTTAAAAAAAAAAAAAAGGTGGGGGGCTTAATGTCAAGCTAGAACCACTAGGCAGCCCTTAGTTTACCCATTTGTAACTGCTTGGACCAAGTCAATAGAGGGTGACACCAGGAGTAACTGAAGATAGAACAAAAGAGCACCTAGCTAATACCAGATACCTCTTTTAATCAATAATGAAAAAAAATCACCAATTCTATTGTGATTTTATAGAACCCTCCAGTAACAAAGGTCTCAGTGTGGAACAACTGTCTTTACCACATTTGTGATCATTTCCAGGGCTTTTTTGGTTTGTTTCATTGGTGGTACTGGGGTTTGAACTCAGGGCTTTGCATTTGCTAGGCAGGCACTCTATCACTCAAGCCACACCTCCATAATCTCCATTTTTAACAAAAGAAAAATGGATTTAGTCTTCACACTTTGACATGGAAAAGGATATGGTGAGATTAAGCTTCATTTTATCTACATTTCTAAGCTAAGTCAACTTAAATAAATCAAGTTTAAATAAAACTATTAAACCAACTCTAGTTTAGAACAGTGACCACTTGAGCCAGGCATGGTGGAGCATGCCTTTAATTCCAGCACGATGGAAGCTGAGGCAGGAGGATTATAAGTTTGAGGCACAAGGTGGCAATGTCTCACAAAAACCAAAAGAGGACTGATGACATTGCTCAGTCACCACCACAGAACCACCAAAAAAAAAACTTCTAGGCCAGATGAGAAACCCAGCTACTCAAGTAGGAGGTGGAGAACCATGGTTCAAGGCCAGCCCAAGTAAAAGGTAAAAGGTTAGTGAGAGATACTGCTATTACCTCCCTACACATACACCCACATTTCAGCCAATAAACCAGGCATAGAGTGCATGCCTGTCATCCCAGCTACATGGAGACATAGGTATGATGACTGAGTTCTGACACCAGCCTGCGCAAAAGGCACAAGACCCTAACCTTAAAAATAACCTAGAGTAAAAAGCCAGTGGCATTGCTCAAGGGGTAGAACGCTTGCCTATCAAGCACGAAGCCTGGCATTAAAACCCCAGTACTGAAAAAGTAAATAAATACATGTAGCAACAGCCTTTCTTCACTATTTTTACCCATTCCCTCTATAAACACGAATTGTTTACTCAACAGTAACCAACCAGTAATTTCCTCACTAGTTGCTTATGTAGTAATTTACTATATACTTAATAGATTATATCACTTGCTAGCTATTAAGTTATTGATAGTATGCCCAACAAAGAAAGCAAGGCTAAAACATTCACTCAGTAACCATGTAGCAAGCACCTATTACATGACTGCACCATTGGAGTGAGCTCACAAACAAGATCCACACTAATGGAGCCGAAGTTCTAGAGGTCATTACCACTCATGAGCGGCCTTCTGATAAAACACACACCACTACAGAGGACGCTTGCTGGGGACAAGAACTGCAGGTTTCGTTCTCCTAAACCCAATGATGAGCACAAAAGCACTTGGTGGATTAAGAGTGAGCGGTGCTGACAGCATGTGGAATTAGCACACAGTGGGCACCTCAGCTTGCCACGCTCATGGGAAGTCTTTGTGCCTCTGCCCCACGTGCCTTCTGGATGCAAACAACCCCCTGATCAGCTGTTCTTGGAAGAATGCTAAGTTGTCCCAGCACTGAAAGACTGTCCTTAAAGAGCAACTGGACCTCTGAAGTGTAATTCTGATTCTCCACTACTTGCATTTATGGACTGACTTTAGCATCCAACCCCTCTTGGAGGAAGACTCAGGTCACTCCATGTTTCTCTGTTAAGAACCAACCAGACCCAATGTACCACCAGTCTTGTCTCCCAAACCCTCCCAATAGCCATCACGGCTCCCATCGGGAAGCTGGTCCTCTGACCACTCATCAGGTGCCCTCCCACTCACTTTGCTTGTGTACTTGGCAATGTCTGCAGCAACATCAGCTGAGGCTGTGGCGATGGGCAGGTCAGCGTTGACTGCAGATGTGAGGGTGCTCGAGGAACCCGAGCTGCTGATCAGGGATGATGGCTGTGTGCTCGTCACCAAGGTGATGGTGGACGTGGATGGGCTCTGTGTGACCTCCTTCTGCTGGACAGCTAGGAAAGCAAATGGATTCTGGTTACCCCCAGAAGCACAGAAAGGGAGTGTCCCAGCATCAAAGCTGGATGAGGACGTAAACACCTCATGGACAGCCAGTGAGTTTTTCTACTTGCAAGTGACCTGGTCTCACCTTGATCAAACTCCAGCCGGGCTCTTCTGAGCTTTCTTCTCAACTAAGCCCCAACCTTGCACTACAAAGACTTGAACAAGCATGAGCCACCTCTAATAGCTAACAGTCTCACTACAGGATGACCTAGGCCCCCTGAGTACATTCCTGAGAAAACTCCAAGCTGCCCAAAGAGCTTGGGGTTGAATGTAGCCAACACCTGAAAATGGGCCCCATCTTCCATCTCTCCGGCAGGGCAGGAGCCTAACCATTAGGCACCTGTCAGCAAACCTAGGTATACTGCACACAGACCACCCCTGCTGCTTTTTTAATGTAACTTTCTTGACTCTCCTGAGCCCCACTCAGCCCACTCGATACTCACTCATTCTACCTTTGAAATGAAAACCACCTCTGCCTAAGTCAGAGGCGAGTTCAGTTTATGCCGGACGCCTTTCCCAAATACAGCAGTGTGCTATTGATTAAAATGTTTTCTACCACTTTAACCAGAGGTGCAATAGTTCATTGCTCATTGAAACTGATCCATTCCATTTTTGGGTTTCTTTTGCAATTTGCTTTTGTAAGGCTAGGGATTACAGTGAGAAAGCCCTGCACACCCCAGACAAGTGCATCCCCAGCCATCCTCACCATTCTAACCAGAGGTGCAACAGTGTTACTACTGATTAAAATCCGCCCTTACCAATTTAACTAGGCTTTTCCTTGACAAAGACAATCTGAAAACTGAGGATCATACTGTAAACGAATCTCTTTTGACAATACCTAACCCCCTGGTCAGGGGACTCACACATTTCTTGGGCAGGAAGACAGAAGACTGGTCTGGAGGAACCCTGTATTCAGCAGGATAAACCCAACTCCTTTCCACCTTGCTCCCCCTGTCCTCCAATTGTTAAAGGGCTTCCCTGAGGGCCAGCTCAAGACCTGGTGACCTTTCAGCCTTCTACCCAGAGAGATTCACTCAGGAGCCCCACCGCCAAGGGTCTACATGCAAGTTCCCTGGGTGACCGGAGGGGCCTCAGGTCAGTCTGCCCCTCATGTCACCTGCAGGAAGAGCCTCCTGCAAGACAGTGGGAGTTGAGCACTGCCATTTCATTCATCAAGCAGTTCTTGACAGATGATAAGTCCCTAGTTTTTAAGGTATGCTTTGCTGTCCACTTCTCACACTGTACACTTCCCAAAATACCGCCGAGAGGATCACACGGTGCACAAGAAAACTTACGCCAAGGTATATTCACTGCAGCGCTGCTAACGGGAGGAAAAACCTGGAAGCAACCTAAATGCCCACCAGTAGGGGAACATTTTCAGTAATCTATGGAATACTATGCAGCAGTCCAAAAGAATAAGGCAGAGCTATATACACTCACATAGACGGAACTCCAAAACCTGCTGATGGGTGGGGAAAAAGCAAGAATGGTACCATTTTTATATTTAAAAAAAAAAAGTATTTTATGGTGTTGCATATATACGTGCAAAAATATATATGCAACCATGCATGGGAAAGGGTTTTACAACAGTTGATTGTGGTTGTTGAGGAAGGGAAGAAAATGAAAAGGAAGGTGAATGGCACAACATTCAACATTCAAGTTTTTATATAAATATTTTGTCCCCTATCTAAGGAGAGAATATACACGTGTCATTGATAAAATGAAAAAGAAAAAATTTAAAGCCAAAAAGCAAACCACAAACTAATTTTAAAAAGTCACGCCAAATGGAGGGTATACGGCCTGCAAGACACGGTGGCCAGGACACACACGGGACGGAGAAAATCAAAGTGGTGATGGCTTTTCTCCTGTGGATGTGGCGAAAAGGGGGGGCGCCACGGCGGCCGGAGGGGAGGCGGTACCTTTGACAGCCTGTCTGGTCTGATATCTCGTCCCCTGGGAAGACTGAGGCTGCTGGCTCTGCTGCTGCTGCCGCTGGATCTTCTGCATGTGCCACTTTTGGGAGGACGTTTGAAACTTACTTGAGGAGTTCCACACGACCCGCTGCACGGCCGGGGCAGTCTCCTTCGGCAAGAGCGGCCTCTGCTTTTTCACCGGGCTTCCTGTGACGGCGGTGGCCGGCGCTGTGACCGTGACCGTGGACGTCGTGCTGGTGGTCGCGGGGACACCAGCCGCAGGGGCCTGGGTGGCAGAGCGGGTGAGCACCGGCGTTTCGGGGGGAGACTGGCTGCCCGCCGCAGTGGATGGTGGCACTTTACCTACAACTACAGCCAGGGCGTGGGAACAAACAGAAACTGGATTGGACTCAGGGTCACCTGCAGGGACTTTTTAGCTGGCGGGGGCTGGGTGAAACCCACCACGGGCAGGAATGCTGGAGGCGCTCAGCACACAGTCCCACTCCACGGAGAAGCCCTCACCCACGCATTCTACATCTTCCCCAGCAGCCTCTACCGCACTTGCTTCACTGAGTACTTGTTCCCGTCTGAGACACCGGTGCGACCTCTGGGGGAAAGAGGTGGGTAAAGCCCAGCCCCACCCTCAACCGTGGACCACCAAAGGAACCTGCGAGGCGCAACCCCAAGAACCAGAAGGCTGAACGACGGAGTAACAGAGAATCCCCCAGAAAGAAAAGTATCCTTTTTGCCTCTTCTAGTGCCCTACAGGACAAAGTCACAGGGTGGTGCTCATGACACCTAACACTGAAAGGAATTCAGCCCCAGGGTCAGACTCTCTTCTGGAATCAAAGTTGCCCTGCTTCAGTTTTGACTGTACTTGTTCTACCACTTTGTTTTGTTTTTTGGATTTTTTTTGGGGGGAGGGGGAATGGGGGTGGGCAGCACTGGGGTTTGAATGCGGGGCCTCATGTTTGCTAGCCAGGCTCTCTACCATGTGAGCCATGCCCCAGCCTTTTGCTTTTAGTTTCTTTTCCAGATAGGGTCTTGCACTTTTGCCCAGACTGGCCTTAGACTATGATCTTTCTACCTCTGCTAACAGAGTACTTGGGACCCCAGGTGTGCACAGCTGCACCCAGCAAAAGTATCATGAACACCACTGTATCCTCCTCAAGGCTTCAACATTCACAACATTTTACTCCTTCCCCTACTCTCTCAGTACTAGGGACTGAGCCTGCAGTCAGCTTTTATACATAGACACAATCCTGGTTTCCTATGGTGTTGATGTCAAGTTGAACTTTACAATGAGTTGCCGTAAATAAAATTAGTAAGCCAAGGGCTGAGGATGTGGTACAGAGGTATAGCACTTGACTAGCATGCAGGAACCCTCAATCCTAACACCACAAATGACAATCACCATGATCACAGTCAGTCAGTAATTATACAACATGGCGGGAGAATGTAGGTAACAGTGGATGTCAAGGACTCAAGAATAGGTCTTCCTGGAGGAGGTGGGCTGGGGACTGGGGCTAGATGTCAACAGGCAGAGGTGAGAATTTGGGGGATTGCATTAATGGGAAGGGGGAGCATTTTGGTAAGCACACAGGCAGTGGAGAGTGGCTGGAAGGCAGGTTACAGGTGGAAACACTGAGTGGTACAGAGGGGTGACCATGTGGGTGCTCAGCATAAAAGGGGGGGGCTGGTCATTGCTGCAGAGGTCCCAGTCTTGGGTTAGGTGAGCTCGACCCCCCCCCCCAACTGATGCCCAAGGAACACAACCCAAACAACTCTTTAATCAGGATTAAGCCTATCTTTTTAAATTCTATTGCTCAGAGAGGAGGTGAGCTTGATTATTCTACGCAAGATTTGCAGTAAGCTGTGGGTTTTAGGAACCAAAGACAAGGAAGGGAAGCAACAGCTGCCTACTCTGACCCCAGGGCTTAGGCCTGGGGAGCCCATCCACGGCTGAGAAGGAGAGTCCTCCCAAGCTGTGAATCAGAACCGGGTGGGGCTGGGGGGCTCTTCCAATCTCAAGGAGCCCTGGTTCTTCTGGGAGGCCTGCCCAATACTGGACACAGTCCCTGCCTATTCCAGGTACACAGGCCACCTTGAACTGAGACGTTCTAAGAGCCAGGCCGAGATACAGAGCCCAGCAGGGGTGCCTTCGATGCCTCCCTTTTCTGCCAGTGACAAAAATATAAATTACTGTTGACTGGCTAGCCTGGCTCCCCTTTGGGCAGAAGGCAACCTCACAAAGACCATTTCTCTCACTGATTTGCAAAAGCAAACAGACAACTTTATAGAGGAGCAGATGCTCCATGACAGTCATCCTGACGATTCCTTAAAAAAAAAACAAAAAAAGGTGGAGAGGAGTCATATGTACAGTCTGAAAGATTCCAGGTTCAAAGTACTGTTTGGGGCTACCATTAAGATACTAAAATACGTAAATTGCTAGGGAATTCTGCTGGCTGTGGAGAAGAAAAAAAAAGCCATAGGAAATTTCATTTGTCCACTCCCAGGATCTAATCAAACAGCTACAGCCCAAAAGAAAAGTCAACACCCCAGTAGCTACGCCATGAAATTACTGTATTTATTCCCAATTTGTCACTGGTCACACAGTTTTGCATTTTATAAAGGGGGACTCTGTAAGAATTAGTGTCCCTTTGGGGAAGGATGGGAAGACCACTGTGACAAAATAAGCAGAGTCTCTGAGGGAACCTCCCTCACGTTTGAGAAGGCAGCTATAAAAGCCAGGTAAGTTGTCTCAACATTTACCTGCTGGACTCCAAGCTGAGGTCAGCTGGAATTACACAGCACACCCCAAATGCCCTGCACCCCAACTCGGGCTTATCAACTGGGACGCTTTGAACTTTTTAGAAAGTATGAGAGCTTTTAAGGAAATGTTTCCCTTTTTGCTTTCACTGCTAGGACGCTCAGAGACAAAATGGAAACACAATTTCCCTAACTCTAAAAATTGCAACAGCACATATTTTTGTATAAAACCTTTCCCCAGACCCTTTACTATACTACGTTCATTTCCCTTGTACACTGACTTCTTTATTTTCATCCTGTTTCATGATTAATCTGTTCTAAATCCTTTCTATAAGAGGAGGGGGATAAAATTAATTAAAAGACTTGGTCCAGAAAGAACGGAAAAGAATCAATGCGTCACAGGAGCACTGCCACCTATGCCCAAATATTCCCAGAACTCTCAGGGAATCAATACTCCTCCTACCGTTCTGTGCAGTAACGAGCAGACTATCTCTCAAACTCAAATCCACACCTATGTGAACTTCTGAGGTCATTTGCAAAGCTGAGAAATGGATGGTGTGACATCTGCCACCTCAACTCCACATAGTTCTCTCTCCCCCTCCATGCACGAGTCAGAGGCAGCCCCAGATAACTGAGCTCAGAGAGCCCAGGGGGCCATGTCACCAGAAAGACCCTTAAGGTGCATCAAGGCCTTGCTCTAAGCCATCAGGCTGCAGAGATCCAGAGGACACAAACCTCTCACTCAAGGGTCTGGATGAGTGAAGAGTAAGGCACGGGGACCTGCTATCCCTCATGCTCCCCACGAAGTGTACACGGCCGTAGGGCTTCCACTTCCACTGTGCCCTCTGCAGGGTTTCTCTCAGGCCCTTATGAGTGTGTCATCGTCTTCCTTGGGCAGCTGGAATCCCCTCCTCACCACCCACCTGCCAAGCCAACTGGAAAACATTCTGATGACCTGGTCAGGGTAAGGACACACAGCACGTCACTCAAGTGCCTTTGAGCCTGGCTGCTGGCTCTGAGCAGAACAATGGCACTGGGCAGTCTGAGGAGACTCACGCAGTGGTCCTCAACTGGGAGGCTCTGCTGCCCCGGGGACATCTAACACTGAGTAGACATTTTTGATAAGACACAACTGGGCAGGAGCTGCTGTCACCTAGTGGGTAGAGGCCATGGATGCTCCTAGACAACCCCAAATGTGCAAGACAGAATCCTACAGGGTGCACTCCAATGAAAATAGGATGGGCCGTCCACTCAGGTCCTATGGGCACCACCCTTTCTGGGTCCAGCGCCCCAAGCAGCTCTCAGGATTCTGGTACCACCTGCCCAAATGGCACACCGTTCCAGTAACACACCTGGCAATGCTGGGCAGCAGGATGGGAAAGGGGGGAGTTGGTCACCTGTATTCAGACCTTTGACCTGATGCCTAATAACTGCTGGGTCTGGTCAACCACGTACACATTAACCACCAGGAAAACAAGGGCAAATACTGGAAAAGCACTGACTTAGGCTCAGTGACTCAACTAGAAGCAACCATCGTTTTCCAAGGGACTTGTTTGCCGGGCTCATATCAATCATGTTGGGGATTAAGCAGGTGAAAGCCCGTCTAAGTCTTGGTCTCGTTCTCTAACCAGCTAGGGGACCTTAGGATGATCACAGGCTGCTCAAGGTGTCAGGGCCCATCACTCTGATGCCACAAGGTAAATGAAGAACTGGAAACTGAGCCAGTTACTTACCATCCTGTTTGGGAGACGGCTCTTTGGGTTCCTTCTTATTTTTTCGACCCTCCCTCCCTGAATGCTCTTCTCCTAAATCTATGACAAGTTCACTCTCTGAATCAGAGTCCAGGCCCAAGTGCACCATGGGGGAATCCGTCTCGTCTTTTCCCTTCAGTTTGTCCTTTGTGGGGTGGGATAATGGTTTCACTTTCTCTGTAAAGTCCTTCTCCGGCTCAGGGCTGGCCTTGTCCTTGACAGGCCCTGGGTCTGCTTTCTCGCTGACTGGTGACGTGCTTTGCAGCTCCTCTTTGACCTCCACAGGGTTTGCAGGTTTGAGCTTTTTTTTGATAGCAGATGGCTCTTTGTCCATCCGACTCCCCTCCTTGTCCTCTGGCTCTTCCGGTTCGTGCTTGGACTTCTGCTCGTCGTCACTGATATACTCACTATCACTACTATCTGACTTCTCCGAATCCTCTGAGTCGCTGTGCTCTACGGCCGTGTAAACGTCCTCCGAGATCTCATTGATTCCTAAATTCAAAGAGAAAACCCGGTATGTGGCAGCATAGTCACAAAATAAAGAGCAGGGCCAAAAAATCCAAACATTTGCACACCAAATGCTGGAATAAAAGGACACATTTCAAATCCTATCACATCAGCCAGGTGGGATGGGCAGTGAACTAGAGAGCATCAAATGACCACAGCTGACTGGTGGAAGTTTTGTTGGGACAAGGACAGACCTACCTACTGACATACTGCTAAATTTCTGCAGAGCCAGTCTCTGTCTGCCACACTGGATACTAACGGACCTAAAGAACAAGAGCGCTGGAGGAACAGCAGAGGTAAGCTGTTCAAATGGATCCAATTAACACACGAAAAAACAGAGGCCCAGAGAAGTCACTTGCCTAAGACACAGGAAAACTAAGACAGGCAAATCCAGAAGCTCTGGGTCCTGATTCACCACCAGCGCCTTCCACTCTGTCTAGTGCAGAAAGCCTTCCAGCAGGGGTATAGCCCAGGGGACCAGCCTGCAGACACCTGTCATGTGGGAAGAAATGATTTTTCCCACAGGATATCTGCTGTTTGCTTTAGTTTTTAACTTAGAATTTGTTGCCCCAATTCACAAAGGAGAGATTTTACACAGAAACCAAAGGGAGTGGGCTTCTGTTGACAGAGCAGAGGAGGTGGCCTCTTTGGGGCCCAGGTCTACAAGGCAACAGATAGGTGGGGCACAGAAGGCACTGGCCCCTTTAGGATTGAAGAGCACAGGGGTCAGTGACCCTCCCCTCACCCTAACCCCCTGCACTGGGGGGCCCCCAGCACCCATGCCAAGAATGAACTGCTCCTGTGTTCACATTGTTCTTCCTCTCACAAATGGGCAAGATGAAAGCCATCCCTGTCTGTGTCTATAAAGGAAAAAGGTGAAACAGAAGACGTTTCACTGGCTTACCTGGACAAAAGCATATTCCTAACAATACTGCAAGTCACCCTCTTTATGCTTCCTGCTCCCAAGAAAAGGAGCTGAGGGTCATCAGGTTTTAGGCAAATGAATACAATGGCCTAAAATTTTGTAAAGTAGAAAAAAAAACCCACTTGACTCTGGAATGCCTTTACACTAGATTGATGGCCTCAGCGAGCAAAGGTCTGCCTTCACCGGAACACACCAACTTGGCAGAGGACAAGGGCCATGAAAAACAAAGGGCACAGGAAGCAGAGTCACTGCTGAACTATATTCACCTCCTCTGGGCTCCATCAAAAACACAAGCAGGGTATGGTTTTTAGATCCTAGACATGTGCCTCTAGAAGCTAATGGTGAGACACAAGAAGGACAAGTTCAACGACACAAGTGACAGGAAAAGTTTAGGTACTAAACCAAAAGGGTACGAATTCAGATCCTGCTCCTGTTTGTTTATTACCTGTGTCACTCTGAATAAGTGGCCTACCTGAGCCTCAGCTTCTTCATCTGCATAATGGGAAATCAGCATCTATCTCCCAGGATAATCTACGCACAGTGCTTAGCACAGTGCAGACATAAAGGGAGAAGTCAGTAAGTGGAAATACAAAATTCTCACTAGCAATAATGAGGAAGTTACACAGCTGCATGGAAAGACCCAAGAGGGACATTTAAATGACCTGCCAAGTGTCATCCATGGCACTCAATATCCTAACCAAACAGGCACTCCAACAGGAGGAACAATGTCCTGTAGCCACCCAGGGAACCCGAGCTCCTTTCTCCCTTAAAGACCAAAGGCACCCAGAATGGCCTCTCTCCTGGGGTCCCATGGTCCCTCGCTTCTTTATAAGGCCCTCCTCGATCAACTGATTTATTCAGCAAACACCCCAGGGCATGGACTGTGTGCACAAAACCAAGTACCAGAAAGAGGTACCAGGTTGCCTTGTGAGGCAACCTCCCTGCCCTCACAGAGCTTCCAGTCTAGAAAGGGAGGGAGACATCCACCCCAGGACCACTCATGCTTCTGAGCAAGCAGATAGAAAGGCACACAGGGGAGGCTTCCTGGAGAAGAGGAGGCTTCTGCTCAGCCTGAAGGAAGAGCAGGGGCAGGTAGGCAGTGTGAAGGTGGGCAGCACAGGAGAGGAAGGGAGGCCACAGGACAGAAGCAAGTGCTGAGTGGGGAGTAGCCCAGCCTGCAGGGAGGCTCAGTGTTGGACGCTTTCGGTGCACACTCAAGATGGTTGCTGAGACAGCATGCGTGCTGAGAGGGCGCAGAGGTAAACTGAGAGGAACTTTATGCTTTCCCACCTGAGCTTCTATGCTGCCTTTGCCCAAAAAAAAAAAAAAAATCAACTCTGGCAAGTTGAACAAGGAGCTACAAAGTCTAAAACACATTGCACGAGTGGAAATACATCTTAGTTCAACAAATAGGTCAAGGTCAAACAGCCGCTAAGGGCAGACAGGTTTCCGCCCATACTCTATCCAGGTGGCATCCCTCTAGGTCAAAGACTTACCTAACTGGGCTTTGCAACTCTCTATCGTCTTGTCGAGATTGAGCTGGAAGCGGCTTCGAATCTGCCGTTTAGGGGAGATGAGGGGAACAGGGGCCGACTGCTGCTGCACCGACTCACTCAGCTCCTTCAGGTCCATCTCGGCTTTGCTGCGATCTGGAAGACACCCCCATACCTCATCAGACCAGGTACTTGAGGAACGAACAAACAGTGCTCACCCCTCAGCTTCCTACTGGCAAAGTTTCAGCAAAACAGCCAGCATGGGACCTGAGGGGGAGAAAATGTAAAACGTGTTTTGTAGGACAGGCACAGTGGCTCAAGTGGTACAGCGCCTGCCTAGCAAGTATAAGACCCTGAGTTCATATCCTAGTAATGCCAAAAAACAAAACAAAATGAAAAAGAAAGTGTGTTTAGTCGTTCACCCCAACAGCATCAACTGCCCAGTGACATCAGAGACCAGCAGATGAGGCAGGTTTACTCCACCCACTGAACAACAGGCCGCAGTGTTCCAATATTTAAAGTGCACAATCCTAGGCAAATGGTTCTCAGGTAAGAACCGAGTTCCACACTCAAGCTCCCCGTCACAGGCTTGTGCCCCAGGTCCCTCTCCTGTCTGTCAAGGGCTCTGATTATGGACCACCAGATTCCAAAGGATCAGTGAGCTTGTATTTCTTGAATTCCTTTCTCATCCCTTCTGCTGTCTCTTCTAGAGTCCCCAAAACAACCTAAGAGAAAAGGAGAAACTTCAGGTAGCCCCAAAGGTCCAGGAAACAATGGGAGACGCCACAGGTGGGTCATATAGCTTTCTCTTGGCCTGCCACCCTCTGGTATCCTTTCTAACCCGCCCCAGCTGATCCAGGCACAGATGAGAAAACAGGTGGCAGCCAATCAACAGGCACGGAGGAGTACCACCTATGCGTGTCTTCCCTACAGCTCAGCGCTGATTCCCTGCCATCTACCATGCCCAAGGTCACCTAGACCTTGGAGAAAATCTAAGAGCTGGACCGGAACACGGTTCAGGTCAGGCCTTCCACCTGCTCCTTTTGTTTCTCAAGAACCATACCCCTTCCCACCACCCAGTAAGGACACTAGCCAACACTGCACACCCAGGAACTGGCTCCTTTAAAGTGACCAGAAGCGACAAACTGATCCAACTCTATTTGTCACCATAATGATGTCCCACCATGATAAGACCAGGAAGGGCTCTTTCTCCAAAACACACCTGAGGGATGCCCCCAACCTGAGATTCTGAAAGTGAGTGCTCAGAACAAGAGACACCATCCTTATAATTCAAGAAAGGTGCTTCAAAAAGTCCAGATGTGTTTGTGTGTGTGCACAGGTATTCATGTGTGCAGAAGCAAGTGTTCATGTTTGTGCAAGTGTGCAAGCACACTGGTGGGAAACCCTTTCAGAAGCTCTCAGAGACAGGGCTCAGCCTCTGGGAAGGGACAACCTTCATTCAAATTTACTGGAAAAGAACTGGAAGACGATTCACCTATGCCCATCTCTGTACGCAGGGAAATCTGAACTGACAGAGAGTTTCTACAGTGAAACTGCAGGAGAAAGGAAATAGGGAAAAGGAAAATGTGGGGGAAAAGTGAAAGACCAGGGTAAGGAGCAGCCAGCACACGAGGGACCCAAGGGCTGTGCAGCTGAGCTGCAAATGTGATGGCAAGGGGGGCAGGAGAAGAGCATATCACCAAGTTTCTAGTTCCAGAAATGCGGGAGCAACCTGGATTCCAGAGAGAAAAGGCAGCCTGTTCAAACACAAAGTTGGAAAGGAAGCTGTATCATGAAAATATTTGCACAGACAGACAGAGGAAGGTGCTGCCCAAGAGACTTGCTCACCAGTGTTCTCGGTAACATTCCTATGTGTTTACCAGATCCCAGTTACTAAAAGGTTCTAGCATCTCAGAGCTCAACACACTTTTTCTAGAAAAGCCCAGAGAGTAAATATTTTAGGCTCTGCAAGTCAGACAGACTCTGCTGCAAAAGCAGCCATAAAGAATATATACACAAATGGGGGTGTGGCTGTGTTCCAATAAAACTTTATTTACAAACACAGCTGGGAGACCAGAATTGGCCCCAAGGCTATAAAAACCTAGCTATCTCCTATGCAAGTTCAGAGACTGCTCACCCTGCCTGCAAACTCAAAACTCTTGTGCAAGGAGTGTTAAAAAACCCTGAAGTCTGGGCTCCGCCCTGGGAGACTCCTGGCAACTGGCCTCAGGGAGGTATGGACATCAGCCTTGTACAAGTTTCCCAGTGCCTCTTCACTGGCCACTGAGGCAGAGACCCCAGAATCAGACCAATCTTCTATGTGAGTAAAGGAAACTGACCATGTGTATTTAACTCCTGTACTCTGTCACAGCGTCACCCTCCAGGGCTCATAAAAAACTGCCTAAGCAATCTGAGTGCATACATCTACGTGTATGCCTATGGTAAATGCAACCCCTTCATCTTACCCTAAAAAGGCTGAACTGTGGGGTCTGGAGGTGCAGCTCAGTAGTGAGACTGCTTGCCTAGCATGCTCAAGGCCCTGGGTTCAATCTCCAGCACTGCAAAAGGGGAAAAAAAAAAAAAAAAAAAGACTGAACTCTGGAATATTTATCATCAAGAATGGAAAGCACCTCATTTTACAACTTAAGGTTGTCCAAAGGACAAAGCTACTCTTAGTTTCTTCTTCAGGCCTGGAGTGGAATATACTGATCTGTCTCTGAAGTCTTGGCTGCCTTTGGCTTTCCTGTCCTCTGCAGGAGAAAGGATCAGCTCTGCTCTCTTTTCTTGTCTGGCTCCCAGTGCTTATCAGGACTTCCCACCCCTGCCCTTCTGTACAGGCAATCTCACCAGAAGCCTCCCATGCTGCCAGCATTTTGAACTTTTCAGCTGATATGAAGACAGCTCCAGCTATAAATGGAAAGCAGAGATAAAAAACATCCCTGCTGGAGAAAGAGGCACACTCTCACATTTCTGCGGAGCACGAATCAGAAGAACCACTTTACAGGGCAATTTGGCAATCGCTCTCAAAATGTCAGCAGCACGTGGCGTCTGACCCTCTGTGCCACTTCTAGGAATTTATCCTGTGCCCCACCCCACCACCACATGGACAAAAGGTTCCATACAGCTCTTAGAACAGAAAAAAACAAAAAGACAACCATGCCTGAATGAAGTTTAAATGGAATTGGGATACAATTCCAATTTAAGATACAATGGAGGCAGATTTCTATGTGTTGCACATACTGACTTGAAAAGTCAACCTGTTAAATGAAAAAGCAGCAAATGGTGTGAGGAGAAAAGAAGGAAATGCAGTGGAATATGGATGTATGAGCTGGGTGTGGTGCCCACACCTGTAATCCCAGCACTCTGGAGGCAGACAAAGGAGAGTTGAGTTTGAGGTCAGCTGGGGCTATACAGCAAGACCCTGTTTCAAAAAGAAAGAGTATGGATATATGCTTTCTTAGGGGCCTTGGTTTTGGCACTAGTGACAGGGGGCCCTACAAGCCTTTGTTGTGGAAGAGGGTGCAGTAAAGGGCAGACCTATGCCCTACATGTGGCAGTATCCCTGGCCTCAACCTTGCATTATATCCCAGGTGTGACAAAAAGAATGTCTCCCAGTGCTGCCAAATGTCCCCTGGGAAACAAATCTCAGGCTGAGAATTATGGTCTATAATGCAGAAGAGCCCTCGGAGATCAAAAACAGGTAACCAGGTTACAGACAGACTGGCTTTTAACTTAGTGTCCTTCTACAACTTTGAAATTTCTCTCACCCTGTGCATTCATAACTTACAAAAGCAAAATACACATTTTTTTTCTTTTGGTGGTACTGGGATTTGAACTCAATGCCTTACAAGTGATCTATCACTTGAACCCCAGCCCTCAAAGGACATGTTTTGCCAGGCGCCAGTGGCTCATGCCTATAATTCTAGCTACTTAGGAGGCAAAGATCAGGAGGATTGTGGTTCAAAGCCTATCCGGACAAATAGGTTTGTGAGACCCTATCTCGAAAAAAACCATCACAAAAAATGGAATGGCTCAAGGTGTAGGCCCTGAGTTCAAGTCCCAGTGCCAAAAAAAAAATACACATTATAAAAATAAACAATTAGAACTCTCCCCTGCATGCCAACCACCCCCCACCTCTAGTGCTGGAGATCAAAGCCAGAGCCCCATACATGCCAGGCAGGGCTCTGCCACTGTGCTACACTCCCAGCCCTTAAGCACTTCTTTTTAGTTAAAAAAAAAAAAAAAGAGAGAGAGAGAGAGAGAGAGAAATCTCCTTTGTTCCAAAGCTGTAGTAAACTGCAATGGATGACTCTTGGGAGCCGAAAATGGTGGCTCCTTCTGGGGAACAGAAGACGCTCTCTATCAATCAAAATGCAGCAGAGATATTCCCAACTCCTTCACTGTAAAGGAGGCAAAAAAGAAAAAATTGCAGGTAACATCCAGGTAATCTGGGCCCAGCTCTGTGTCCACTCTCCAGGAATTCCTGATGTCCAACTGCCCACTCTATGCACAAAGAAAGGTGGCCACCTGTCAGCTTCCCATGGCCATAGCATCCTCAGCAGAGCATAAGAACACATGTGTGTCGCTCTCGGGAGTACCAAGCTGTGGCTTTGTTCATGGCCTCTGAGAGATCAGAGCAAGCAAACAGGAGTCTGGGAGACAACAAGAATCGGGTGCCCAGTCTCAGGCAAACACATTTGCGTTCATTATTTATAACCATCCCGAAGTCGCGAGGAACCTGTACACACCGGGCAGGCTCAGCTTCTTGTCTGAAAGAGCGGGATGACCTGAAGACATCAAGTAAAGGGCCAGGGAGGAAGCACGAAGGGTGAGAGCCAGCCTCCACACACACTGGAAGATCATTTACCGTAACTGATTAACATCAAATAAGAGCCAGCTGATAACTCATGGGCTCATCTTTGTGTTTTAAGTGGTATTTGGCCCAAATAGAGTTTGGTTTTTGTTTTTAATACAATTGATAGCCAACTTTGAAAAAACTAGGAAAGTTCACAGAAATATTTGGGTTTCTGTTTTCCTTTAAATTCCAAACCTTTGGACAGCCCAGGATGAACTGGGAGGAGTCATTTCCTCTGGAAAGGCCATTGCCCCCCATGCTGCTATTGATCACAAGTAATCTTCACCTATGCCCTACACCTTGCATCTAGGCTGACTTATCCGCCAGGCACAGGGGACATCTTCTGAGGACACTAAAGTCCTAATGTGGCCTGGTCTAGATAGAAGCACTGCAGCTCAGCTACCTCCTATGTTCAATGGGCCCAGCCCCCAAAACCAAACCTACCACAAGCCACGTGTGATGTTGGGCATCTTTGCTACTCTGTGGCCCAGTCCCCACTTCCATGAAACAGGGCAATTACGGACTGGTTGGTGTAATTTTCTCTTCGGTAGTTTTAATTTAGAGAGTAAAATTCACTTGGGAGGTGGAGGGGTGCAGTACTTTTTTGTTTTGTATGTTTGTTTTGCAGTGCTGGGGAGAGAACCCGGGTAGCACTCTCCCACTAAGCCACAGCCCCTGCCTGCGGAGATCAGATCTGCAAAACAACCACTACAGACCACATGCAGGGTGGTTCCTTTCCCCCAGAACCCTCTTCCAATTCAAAGTCAAGTCCTCCTCTGCAACCAAGGCAAGGCAATCACGATCTGTTTCCCATCTCTGTAACTTTGCCTATTCCATGGTACTTTTTAATGAAATCCTACATTACTAAATAATTTCATTACCATCCCTGACACACTGCATCATCTCTGTCTGGTGAAAGTTGTCCCATGGGTAGACACAGCCAGTCCTTATAGATTCGTTCAGCATCCCCGCCCCCGCCCCTGACTTTTCAATCCACCCACAGCTTGCCCACTCGTTCCTAGCAGATCCTCCTTAGTTAGGGAGTGAAATCCCAGCCAACAAAACCAGCCCCACTCCTGATGCTTTTGTTCCCACTGATGACAATGAAGTATATCCTGGGGACTCGAAGAACTATCAGGGGAGACAGGACAGGAGAACTTCAGCTTCGAGTCACCCACTGCTGTGCCCGCTGTGCCCACGCACCAAGATACATGACAGTATGAAACTTTCACTCCCACAGTGCGTCAAGACAAACCGAAAGACCCACAGTGTCACGAGGCTGCCCAGCGGCCACATGGCTTAGAGAAGGAGCTATTCTTGCCAGGCATGACTGGCAGACAGGAAATGTCACTGTGAGAACACCTCCGCACAGCATTTCTGTTCATTTCTGTTCGGGATTGGATGTGGGAGGCAGTCATGAAAAAGGAAACCACGTCTTTGTGAACTATGAGTGTTCCCAAGGCTGCAAATGGGCCCCCTTTCCTTCAAAAGAGGAACCAGTCATTCTGAACTGGAGCCCCTGGGCAACCACCCTGACCCATCCCACTCCATCCGGGCAGTAATAGGTGACCCAGGATGAAGGAGGTCCATGAGGCTCCAGGGAGGAGCAGGCTGAGCTCTAACCTGGCCCCCTCTGGCCCTGCCATCCTGGCCACCTTGAGCCTCCTCTCCAGACCACCATGCCACCATCAGCCATAGCATGGCAAATCTGAGGTGCCTAGTGGGCACTGTGAATTCACATGCAGTGCCACTAAGTAAAAGTGGCTGTACCCTTCCCTCCCCAAAACACTCTGTCTCGGAGGCACTTCCCTAACTTCCTCTGGACCACCACTGCTTTCTGGACTCTGCTGCCCCCTTCTCCTCCTCTTCCTGGCCTCTACACACTCCAGCACCCCAGGGCCCTGGCTTCTTCTGGAGCACTCACCTTTGGCGGTCATGCCTGTGGTGGGACCCTCCTGTGCTCTACAGAGCATTCAGCTGGCCTCCAACCACCAGCACCCATCCATGCCTCATCCGTGGGAACTACTGCTCTCCCCTTTCCTGTGTCCGCAGATTTGCAACTTGCCCAACCTGGTCTCAGGGTACCCTGACCCTGATTCCTGCCTCCAAATGCCTTTTTTTTGGATGGTACTGGGGTTTGAACCCAGGGCCTCAAGCTTGCTAGGGTGGTGCTCCATCACTGGAGCCACTCTGCCAGCAAAACTGAGGTTAGACCCCACCCCTCAGTAGTGGACTTTGAACTCTGGCCCTTAGCAAGGCTGAAATACCCTCTTGACATCTCCACCTAAGGGTCTAACAGGCACCTCAAACTTACAGAATTCAACCTAAACTCTTGGCTCCTACTTTTCCTGCCAAACATGAAGCTGCCAGCACACTGTGGGACGTTCAACACTAACTAGATGCCAGTGGCACTCCCAACCCCAGGCATGAGAACCACAATGTCTCTAGACATTGCCAGGTGTGGGATGTGGACACAGTGCCTGATAGAGACCATTTGAACACAGCGCCCTCAGACATGAAGTTTACTCCCCTCCCTCCCCTGGGGTCTCTGGGACTCTGACTTCATCTGTTTTCAAACCTTTCAAACCTCTGGTTCCTTCTAGAATGTTCTTCCTCCTAATATTGGAATGTCTAGTTTTCCTTGCCATAAAAATCTCAGCTCAAATCTCACCTCCTCCACGGGGCCCTCCTTCACCCTTCCAGCTCAGTGATCCACTACCTCTGGCTCCAACCTGCCCACCCCTCTCATCCTAGCCACACAACTTTATGTTCAAGCCACCCATTGGGGTGAACTGCCTTGCTTCTGACCTTGACTGGTGCCCCTCCCTCTCTGAAACCTAAGCTGTGAGACCCAGGTCCTTAGCTGACTTCTCAGCACCCTATCTTTGTGCCTGCATCAATAAGAGATGCTCAATAAAGATCAGAACTCACAGTGGTATGGTGCAATTAACTGAAAGCCTCATACTTGGTTGTTTAGCATGTCTGGAGCCAGTTTCTGGCCTAACATAGTGTTTTTAAAACAACCAGCAGAAACTCAATGGGTTAGACATTAATACAAGGGATGAAAAGCAGCACCTTAAAAAACTAGAAGAGAATGAAAGCAACAGTATCCCAAGCACAGTGTGCAGAGGAAAGGTAATATTGACTCATGAAACTCATCTGTCACATGAGTGACAGACATATTGGAGACCTGGGTACTAGGAGTCAAGGGCAAATAAGCTTGTTAACAATGGCTGAGGTGCTTCAAGATAAAATAACTGCATGCCAATGAGACCCAGAAAATCCCGAACCAGTTCCTTCTTCGTGATGTCCCCACTTCCATCCTCTGTACCTTTTACATTTTCTAAACAAAGAGTTCAAGGTTGGAGAACCACACCAAAAGACATTACACCTTGCACAAATAGTCCCAGCAAAGACACTTCCAAAAATGCCAACTGACCCAAGTTAAGATTCAGGATGCTCCCAGTGGTGGAGGTTTTGTCCGTTTTTGTCATGATGGGCACTGACGGTGCTTGGGGAGAGAAAGGTTTTGGGCTATCTGACAGACTCCCCGCTTGTCCAGTCTTCATGGAGGCCGGTGAAGCTGAAAAAAGTATGTCACTGTTAGAAGCCAGCTTTATAAACCAGTAAACAAGTCAAATTCACAGGTGTGGAACTGGGGAGGGGAGAGAAGGTGTGAAGTGGACTTCATTTCAGCATTGTGGAGGGGGTGGGCTAGGGAGAGCCAACCGTTTATCTCCAGCAAAGGGCTTTACCCAATGTTAAACCATTAAAGCCACAAGGAAGTCAGCCTCCCAGCTTTTCTGTTAAACACAAAACTCTTAAGACAAATCGTCTAAGCTGCCACTGAAATTGGTTTGGCCCATTCTCAGGCGTAAATCTCAAAATAAACAGTGATTGAACCAGCCCCTTGCACTCACGCTTGCAAGTGGCATGGCCAAGGGTGGCTCACACATGGCCTACACCTGCTGGTGACCAACCCAGCCCCAGGGGAGGTCTCAAAGGCTCTAAGGTTACAGGAAGCTAAACTCAGCACCAGATGGAGTGTGGAGACTTTGGTAAATTACCCCTCCTTATTGTGTTTCAAACTTCTACAGGATGACAGAGAACAGTCCCTATGTCAGAGGCTTTTAAACTTACCTTTAAACGACCCACTACCTGCTTGTCCTGACTTCACTGGGTGGGACGAGGAGGATGGAGACCAGAGCATTTGTTTTATAAAAATGAGCACTCAGGGGCCAAGAGCCTCAGAAGGACCCTTCAAATCCTGCCCTGGCCCTGTCCTGCCCTGGTCCCGGCAGGGTTGGGACTGCCCTGCCTCATGCTCCCCAGGCCCTTTTAAAACCAGCTGGGTCTGGGGCCTGGCAAACAATGAAATGACCACCTTGTCTACGGTGAGTGAGAAACATGGATGTTCGGGTGATCTGGTCCTAACAGGAAGCAGTGGGCAGCAAAGGGAATAGGAATCTAGTCACTCAGGGACCTTGAAAGCACTCCATGCCTCAGCTTCCTCACTTCCAAATGGGGCTGCCCTGCACTGGCAGTGAGTTAGACCTGCACCAGTGCAGATGCCAGCAGACACAAGCCTGTCTTGGCCCCAGGGCTAGGATGCTACGTTCCTTTTAATGTAATACTGTGGCAAAAACTAGACGAACAGGGCCTGGACTCAAGAAGGGTCAGGAGGCAGATGCTGGGGGTTCAAATCCCAGCCATGGCAGCCAGAAGGAGGGGCTCCAATCGTGTGATGACACAGGCACCCCCCTGCCCCACACACACACCCACAGGTTATTGTGACCGGTGTCCTGCGTGTGGGAAGTGCCACAGTGCTGCTGGCTATTCGTGTAGCTTATTTTCCACTTTCCAAGGTTAAGGGTAACCTTGAAGGCTTTGGAGTCACCATCTGAACCAGAGGTTTTCAGCCATAAAATAAGCCACTGCTCCCACCTTGCAATGTGTGCAGGCAATTTTGATTGCTGTGATAGAGGAGAGGGGCGACTACTGCCAAGTGAGCAAGGACACTGATAAATGCCCTAAATTCACAGGACAACCCCCATAAATGGCACAAATGTCACCAGTGCTGAGAAACCTACACAGGAAGCAGACCTGGGAACCCTTCATCTTCTCTAGAAAAGGCAGGGAGAGGGGTTAGACTAGCTAACCCAGGCCCACTAGGGCTTAGCAAGTACACAAAAACATTAGAAACTGTTTTGACAATTAAATCTTAAAAAACACTAAATTTAACCCGTTCTACTGTAGGAATTAGCAGACAGCCTGCACAGAACCCGGCGTGCAAGATCCCTCCACCTGGGGGCTGTTTCAGTTATTATCACCACCACTGCCAATGGGTACTGCTATTATATTATTGCCACCATGGGTATTGGGACAAATAGAACTAGAATACTTGTTACATGAGTAACACTAGTAAATACGGTGTCTTTTGCAAAATATTACCAATGACATCTTTTCTGTGAGGATTTTCCAAATCCTTCATGTCAAACCTGCTTCCAGAAGAGAACTGGTAGCTAAAATCATGCAATGTACTCCCCGTGATGACTAAAGACCAGGGCTTTTCTAACTGCACTCTCTTAAGCAAACTAGCAAAACTACCAGGAGGCCCACTGTACTCTCGAAAGCACTGCTTGGGAACAGAGAACAGAGGGTGCACCCGAGCTGTGAAGTGCAGCAGGAAGGAAAACAAGAAAATACTCAAAGCTGCCGCTGCACATAGAACCCACCCAAGTGAGCCCCGTTTCCCCACTCAAGGGGTCAAGGAAAAGGTGAGGTGTCTAGGAGAGTGGTCCCTACTTGTGCTCCTGCAGGGGACTTCAGCAAGAACCTAAGTAGAGTCTTAATTGTGTGAGCTAGGCACGTGCTCTACCACTGAGCCACCTCTTCACCTCCTAGCTGCTGCTCAGAATCTGCTGGGGCTCTTTCAAATTTCATCAATGAGGCACAGTGGCTCATGCCTGTAATCCTAGTTACTCAGGAGACAGAGACCAGGAGGATTGAGGTTTGAGGCCAGTCCAAGCAAATAGTGCAAGACCCTATCTCAAAGATACCTGACACTAAAAGGGGCTGGCAGAATGACTCAAGTGGTAGAGGGCCTGCCTAGCAAGTGTGAGGTCCCAAGTTCAAACCCCAGTACTACCAAAAAAAAAAAAAAAAGAAAAAGAAAAAAAGCCTGTTTTAAATTACAAACATTTTTCAAACATTTTTTTAGACATAACACTCAGATATGTCAAGAACAAGGGTGGATGAAGACACTGGTTTCTGTGGAAAGGAGCAGTCCCCATCCCCCACAAGGTATCGGGATGCAAAGCTTCATGGAATCAGTTAAGAGAGTGGCCTTAGGATCACCTGGCCACCCACAGGCCCCACCTGCATCTCCCTGAGAGACAGCTCCCAGGCCCACCCCCCAGTGAGACTGTCCTCCTAGTATCTGTCAACGCTATGACCACCCACCGGATAGTTCAAGGTTGAACACCTCAACTCCTGGCGTGTACTCTGCCTCAATTTACCCAACTCTTCCTCAAGGCCTCTGCACTCCACTTCCAAGACATATCCCAAATCCCTGTGCTCACTACTGCCTCCACTGCTACCACCCTGTCCTTCTCAACTGCAGAGGGTAGGGGGTTCTTAGGGGATGAAGAAAGTCTCAGCACTCCTTTACCTAGAAAGCACAGATGGACTCGCAGTACATAAGCCGATGTGCAATACAGAGCGGCATCCATAATTCGAAAATCCGAAAATGTTCCAAAATGTGAACTTTTTCTTTTCTGGTGCTGGACATGAAACCCAGGGTCTGTGTTCTACCACTGGGCTACACCACCACTCCTACTTGACTCTTACAGTTGTAAGGGGTACATGAAACACAAACGAATTAAGTGTTTAGGTTTGAGTCGCATCTGCAAGAGATCTCATACATATGCAAGTATTATGCAAATCACTTCTGGTCCCAAGCATATCAAATAAGGGATACTCATCAAATCTCACGGGAGGGCACGCCTCCACTCATACCCATAAGGACTCGAAGACAGGTTAGTCAACTCCTCACAACAAATGTTCACTGAAACAAGGTGAGTGTCCAATAGACGGACAGATCGACACAATGGGATGTACTGAGTCATGAAAGGGAATGGTGCTTTCATCTTTGCTGCGATCCTGGAAGCCATCAAGCTAAGTGAAAGAAGCCAGACATGAGCGTTCCAACACAAGAGTCACGCAGCGTGATCCCACGCAAATGACAAGGCCAAGGGGTGATTTGCACAAAGGAGTGTGGACTGCCAGGGGCGGTGATGGGGTGGAAGGTGGTAAGCAACCACCTAGCAGGTGGTAGGTTTTGTTCTAGAGTGATGGAACTGTCACAGAACTACAAAAAGGTGGTGGCTGCGTGGCATGACACCAGGCTCTTTAAAATGGTGAATTTGATTGGTACTGGAGATAGAAGCTGGGGCCTCGGCGTGTTAAGCAAGGGCTCTCCATTACTTCAGCCAGGCCCCTACTCCACTTTGTTTTATATTTTTGTTCTTGAGATACAGTCTTGCTGATTTTGACCAGGCTGTCCAACTGGCAATTCTCTTGCCCCTGCCTCCCCAGTAGCTGAGAGGACAGATGTGAACAGTTATTTTTACGTTACATGAATTTCACCTCTGAAAGAAAAACTCATAGAACGATTAGGGAAAGGTGTCCTATGGCTCCTTGGGGGAATGCTGGGAAATCAACAGGGAAGCCCTGGGCCTGCCCATTATGTCCCACTGAACCCCTGCCAGCACTTCCCAGGTCCACCACCTGTCGCAGCACCCCACTCCCAGACTGGCTTCCACACAGTAGCCAGGAACAGCTCTCAAACACAGAAGAGAGTACACACATATATGTCGTCTTCCAGAGGTGTCCTGGCCCCCACAATAAGATTTGGGTTACTCTCTGACTTCATATCTGACCTTTCCTGTCTGCTCTGGACTCTCCAGCCACACCAACCTTCAAGCTGGGATCAAGACTGTTGCTACCTCAAGCCTTTTATACCCAACTTCTCCAGGGAGGCTCCACACCCATGCAAGGTGGCATCGGCTCCTCTTCCTCCTATTCGGGTCTCAGCTCAAACATCGGTTCCTCAGAGCTCTCCCTTGTGGCACACCTAACAAAGTCAAGGTGACTCCTGTTTACTGACCCCCTCTGGCCATGAGAATGTCAGCTCCATGACATCAGAATCCTTGGGGCTGCCAGGCGTTTGTGTCACCACCTGATATATGCCAGGCACTTAGTCCATTTACTGAATGAGAAAGCATGTGAAATGATTCATTAAAGAACAAGGTCTCCATTTCTCTTCTCAATACTGTAATTGTAACGAACAATGAACGTGGTAACAACCAACAAAAACTGACTAAACTCTTTTCCATACCAACTTAAACAATCTCCTCCATATTATGCAGCTACTATATAACGTGTGCTAAGAGTATGACTAGCAGACCAAAGATAGAAACAGAAAAACATGACAGCCAATAACGTGAAGAGATCACTGAGCGCAACAAAAACCATCCATCCATCCATACATACATACATCCTTAACCCTTTCCACGTGCATAG